CTGGCAAGACACTTGTGTTGCATCAACTGTGTGAAAGAACCAATTCTCCAAAGTTCAAACACAACCTTTCCTGCTTTGCTTTTTGACACGGGTAAGTACGAGAGAGGAGATCTGCAAGGTGGGGTTATAAAAAAGTTGACCTGGTTCCTTGCCTGTTATCCCATCCTACACGTTCTAGCAGCATTCTGACACCCAAAAATTAAACAGGTAAAAGTTTTTATGAGAACTGTACCACATCTTCACCAGCTTAATTTCTACAGGATGAAAACTCTACTCAACAGGCCGCTGAACTTCTCTAGGAACATGAACTACCCAATAAAATGCATTTGCATATTGTTGACATAACCACTGGCCCGGGGAGAAGTCCAAGTCTCTTTCCAGCTTTGCTAGGGGGTTCTCCTCTCTTTCAATGGACTTTAACTGCCACTCCCTTCCATACGTAAACAACATGTAAACCTCAAACCCATTCAGGAACTGCCACAGGTTCTTCTTTTCTCTCTCAGTACACCAAAATACATACAGAAGAAACAAAGCTCAGCAAAAACCACACCACCACTCAGAACGCATCTCGTAAAAAATTCCCATTTTGATGGCACAGCACATTATGCATGGGGAAAAGTGAATACAGAGAACATTCCCTCCTGCTCCCATAAAAACTAGCACTCAGATGCACCCAATGGGCAGTGGGCAACAGATTTTTGACAGACAAAAGAAAAATACTTCTTTACCCAATGAGTAATTAAGTTGTGGAATTGATGACTATGGGCACAGATGGATTTAAAAGGGGATTAGACAGATTCATGGAGGATAAGGTCCATCAAAGGCTACTAGCCATGGCAACTAAAAAAGGTAAAGGTAAAGGTTCCCTTGCTCGAAAGCCAGTCGAATCCGACTCTAGGGTTGCGGTGCTCATCTCCGTTTCCAAGCCGAAGAGCCAGCGCTGTCCGAAGACGTTTCCGTGGTCATGTGGCCAGCATGACTAAACACCAAGGCGCACAGAATGCTGTTACCTTCCCACCGAAGCAGTACCTGTTTATCTACTTGCAATTTCTTGCTTTCAAACTGCTAGGTTGGCAGGAGCTGGAACTAGAGACGGGAGCTCACTCCGTCATGCGGCATACTCAGGTCTCAAACGGCTGAACTACTGACCTTCCACAGCCTGCAGTTCAGCGTCTTAACCACTTGAGCCTCCGCAGCTTGGCAACTAAAGGGAACCTCCATATTCAAAGGTTTATTGCCTATGAACACTAGTGCTGAAAGCCTTGTCCTATCTGTTGGCTCCCCCAGGTAACTGGCTGGCTGCTGTACTAGATGGGCCACCAGTCTGATTCAGAAGGACTCCCTCTTATGGTCTTATCTCTCTTTCTCCTACAAGAGAAACCATCAAAAAGCTATATTAGACAGTGGTCTTCAAACTTTCTGGATCCAGGTTCCATCTTTATCTCCTAGGCAACAGCCTGGAAAAGGCCCTCAGTTGTAAGCACGTGACCTCACACTCATGTGACAGGAAAAGGGAGAGCCAGAGTTGCAGTCTCACCAGGCAGAAGAACGGGACGTTAGGCAGCAGACTAAGAAAACTGGGGACAAGCCAAACATGCAGAGGTATACCACAGTGAGAAAGAAGGCATGGAGCGCTCCTCTCCACTGCTGAATGGGCTCACTGTCCTGCAGCTCCTTCCAGTTCGTATGTGAAGAGATGTAGAATAACACGGTGGCCTTGCTCTACAGATGTGCACCAGTAGCAGTTCCTTCCCAACTGCAGGGAGAAAGGCAGTTCTGTAGTGGCATGCAGCTCAGCCAGTGGGACTCTGAAAGCATCCAGCTGAAGACCCCGTACCATTCCACGAGCTCTAGGGGCCAGCAGGAGAGCTCCGTCACAGCTCCTTATAGCCCTGAATCTCATCTTCTTCCCAATAGCCTACTGAAGGCTTGATTGATCCAAGATGCTTGGTGACTGTCAAAGACAAAGCCGGCCTTCGACAGCCACCCGGGCACCTAAATATGTGAAGTACTTTGTTAGCTCTGGCTTTTCCAAGCCTGTCCTCCTTCCCCCTGTACTAATTCACTCATTAGTGCCCACGTCCTCACCCCCAGCGAGGTAACAAACATGCAGCAAAATACTCAACAGCTTAAGAACACACCCTTATTTACGTTGACACTGCATACGCAGGCACAAATGTAAACTCTGCATAATCATGCTCTCTTGAAGAATGCTTTTCTTTGCAGTGAATTTTTTCCCCAGTCCCAGCAAACAGCGGTTTACATCTATCACGTGTTCGATAATGGAAGCATACAAAGACAATTATTTAGGGTTCTAACTGCTCAAAGTTTTTAATTTTTTTAAAAGGGTTTTAAAAGAAAGCATTTTATTAAATATGAGAAAGGCTCCAAGGGCATTTCTTCACAACCTAGCTTCAGGGAAGGCCTAATGCTTCAATACTGCATGCTACTCTGTTTGTATATGGACCATAACGTAGAAATTTAGGAGACTAATTGGGCTACATAGCAAAAGATCTGTGACTAGAAGTCAAAACCTTGCATGGGTGTGTGTGTGTGTGTGTTTTCCAATCTGATTTTTAAACAACTCTGCTTGGTTATCATTTTCTCCTTGACAGTTTCTCTTCTCAGTGTTAGTATACAGTTAGTATATATTTACCTAAGATAAACCAACAAGTTTATACAGACAAATGAAAGGAAACAAATTATGACCAAGTTGCGACCGGTGGGGTGAATATTTCAGGGTATTTCACTCCTGACGTCAACATCGGGATCTCAGGATATTCCACTCCGGATGCCAATAACCAATTTAAAAAGCTGAAGGCACGGACAGAACGTGAGACTGGAGCTTCCCAGAATTTCATCAGGTCTTATGATTTAGAGCTGTTCTCCACTGTAAGCATCTCATATGTCATGCAAATGGAGTTGCAGCTCATAAGGGGGGGAGGGGGGGCCTGGAACCACCGGCTGGCTGGCTTGGTGACCCCTCCGCAGCAGAAGTCTTGTTTACTTCAACTGATAGCCTACATGAGTCAATCTGTTACTCATGTTTCATTCTTCATGCACAACAGTCTCTCTCCCCACCCAACTAGACCACACACCATCAAATGTATGCACACAAACACATACACACTCAGCGACTTAGCTGGTCTGCACCACAATGTGATCTAACAGTTCTTGGCCGTAGATGCTCACGCCACAATAAATGCAGTCGTCCTTAAGGTATCACAAGACCCTTCTGCTAAATTAAGGCCGCTGTAGTTTGTGCTAAAACAGACATTTCCAACTCATTTTCATTCCCTTGACCACTTTTACGTTGGATTATGTTTACAGTACTACTCTCGAAATATGTATTGATGAGTATAGCCTCATGTATTCACAAGTTTCAACCAAACTGCATCAAGTCACTGAAGTAAAAAAAAAGATTATTTAACCCTCAAATATCAGTTGCTTATCTGGCAACACCACTGAGAGCAGAAACCTTGCTGATGCGCACATTATAAATAAACCTGCTAGCTGTCGACTAATCTCACCTTATTATGTTACCAGCAGCCCTGCCGCTCAGGGCATCAGTGTTTGATTCCGAAAGCAGGAGCCTAAGAAGAAAGCCCTGAATCAGTTAATGTATGAAGTGGCTTCTCTCTTTGGCTGAAGTTCTAAGAATAGCTGATATTTACCTGCTTTCCCTCTCTCTTAAGAAAAAAGGATAATATTACACAGCAGGCCAAAGGTCCCAGAATTTCTTGGCACACAAACTGAAACCAGTTCCTAAGTACAATGAAAGTTTGTAGGGAGCTATGACTGTAAAGAGTACGAGGACAGCTTCTCGAACCCCACAAGGTGGGGGGAGAATCCCAAAGCCTCTCAAGCTCCAACTACCGTATTTTGTGCTGCTCCTCGGAACAATCAACCACTAACCCTGCAATTTTGTACTGTCAAAAAGCCCCACCAAACAAGGCCAAGTAAGGTATAACCTCACCAATCCTGAGGTCTCCTTCTCCATCACCAGACTCTCAAGATGTTGTGATTCTGACAGTACGACCCTTGGCAGAATTGCAACTTAAGCCTTTTGCAGCCCCGGGCCTTGAAAAGGCCTAACTCTGTCCGGAATTGAACCTTAAGCATAACCTCCCTGGAAGCAAGTCCTACCGAAGCAAAAGGGATTTACAACGAAAAATATGGAAAACCTGGGGGTGAGAGTTGGCAACAGTGCAGCCACGACAGCCTAAACCTTTTTTTTGGGGGGGGGGGGAAGGGAAACCCACCCTTTTTAAAATACGCAAAGCAGAAGAGCAATTGGAATACGTAGAGGAGCACTTGGAAACCTCTTCTCAATATGCACAGCAGAGGAGGACGGCCGCCTCGCCGGGGATTGCGCAACAACCTAATCACGTTTGTTACCTTTGGCAAAGGCGGCCAAGCAGCGCAGCCGCGGCCGGCCAGCTCGGCCCCGAAGTCACTCCCGCGCCACGCCACGGGGCTCACGGCAGCCCGCGCCACGCACGGCAGTCTGGCTGAAGCCCGCATTAGCTGCGAAGGCACAGCCGAGGGCCCCTTCTGGGCGGCGCCAGGAGCCGCCAGCCACGCGCAAGGACTGCGGGGCTCCCCCAAAGCGGCTCGCCGCTCCCCCAGCCTCGGTGCCCGGGGACACGCAGGCGGCTCCGGGAGCTGGAACGGCGGCCCGCCCTAATTGGAGGAGAGGAGAGCCACGCGGGTTTCTCGGCCGCCGGCGGAGCAGCACCGGGGCCCGAGGAGGCCCGAGCCGAAGGAGAAGCGCAGGGGCGCCTCCTCGGCCGCTCCAGCGCCGCCGCGCGCGCAAGAGAGAGAAGGACGCGGGATGGGTCAGAGAAGAGAGCGGCGGGGCGAAGGACATTCGGGCCGGGCGAGCCAGTTGGGCCTCACACAGTATCTGCGGGGTGCTGTAGTCTTGACTTTGAAGCACACATTTCTGTCTGTAGGGTTGCCAAGTTTCAGATTTGTAGTGACGACGTCTGTGAAGGGGCCTTTGAATTTGAGCTCGTGCTGTGGTTCCAGAGAAAGGACCTGCTCGGTTTTCGCCATGTTCCCCCCCGCGCTGCCTCCTCCTCCTCGTCCTTCGCTCCCTCCCTCCTTGGCGGCACCCGGCAGAGCTGGAGAGGGAAGCGAGGACGGCGGCGACGCGCCCGAGCCGCGGAGCTCCAACCTCCACAGGGGCGACGGCTGCGCTTGGAGGGGCGGCGCCCACCGGAGGCTGCGAGGCAAGGAGCCGGGACCGCTGGCTGGCTGGCGTGCGCTTGCTTCCCTTGCAAGGAGGCGGCGGCGGCGAGGACGCTGCAGCAGTGGGAAGGGGAGGGCCGGCCGAAGGGAGGCTGCAAGCTGACGTCAGCAAGGGGAGGGGGCGGCAAGCCCGCCTCTCGCCTCGGGGAAGAGGGAGCCGCGCGCGCGCAAGGCCGGCCGGGGCCCGGCTTAAGAGACGCGCGCTCGGGACGCACGCCCGGAGCGGCGCAGTGCAAAAGTGGCGCAGCAGGGCGCGAGGCGCTTGTCGGTGCCTTGACGCGCGCGGGATGGAGCGAGCGGGCGTGGGATGCGGAGGCGTTCCCACCCAATGGCCTGGAACTTGGCCTTGCGCCATCCCTATATATACTACAACCACGCTATGTAATTCCATTTCATCGGCTGACGAAGAGCTCGCGCCTTGAATGAAACTTTATTGGCCTTAAAGGCGCCGCCGGACTCTCACTTTTGTTCTCCTGCCTTGCGCGTGTTCTGGTTGGAGCCCTCCTCTTAAAGTGTTTCGCGCTTCCTGGTCTCCACCAGTGTTCCCTCTAAGCTGAGTTAGTGTGAGCTAGCTCACAGTTTTTTAGCCTCCAGCTCACACATTTTTGTCTCTGCTCAGGAAGGAGGGCTCCAGAGCAAACTAATTGATGCAGCAGCCAAATTGCTTGCTCACAACTTTAATGCCGGCAGCTCACAAAGCAGAATTTTTGCTCACAACACTCCATAGCTTACAGGGAACATTGGTCTCTACCCTTAGGCTGCCGAGTCCAGCATCTTTCTTCTTAGGGTTGTGATCCCGAGCCACGCTTGGTGGTGGTGGAGGAGGAGGAGGAAGGCGCTGCTGACAAGTTGAGGTTGACTTAGGATCAGTGCTCCCTCTAAGCTGAGTTAGTGTGAGCTAGCTCACAGTTTTTTAGCCTCCGGCTCACACCTTTTTTGTTTTAGCTTGGGAAGGTTGGTTCCAGAGCAAACTAATTTGTGCAGTAGCCAAATCGCTTGCTCACGACTTTAATGCCAGGAGCTCACAAGACTCCATAGCTTAGAGGGAGCATTGCTTAGGATGACCTCTGTAAGGTTCTCAGGGCAGGAGACAGAGCCGTGGCTTGCCATTTGTTATCTGCCTCTGTATAGCAACCCTTTACTTTATTCATGGTCTCCCATCTGAACACTAACCAGGGCCAACCCTGCTTAGCTTCCGAGGCATGACAAGATTGGGCTAGCCTGGACCATCCTGGTAAAGGTGTGGCTGAGATAGGGGTGCAAAGTGCCGTCAAGTCGCAGCCAGCTTATGGTGATCCCGAAGGGTTTTCAAGGCAAGAGACATTACGGTTTGCCATTGCCTGCCTCTGCATAACAACCCTGGACTTCCTTGGTGGTCTCCCATCCATACGCGCTCTTAAACCACTACACCATGCTGAATTCTTATGCTCAAAATGATAAGTGTGTAAACCCTGACTTGGATAGGCCAGGCAATCCCGATCTCGGAAGCTAAGCAGGGCCGGCCCTGGCAAGTCTTTGGATGGGAGACCTCCAAAGAATACCAGGGCTGAGAGGCAGAGGCAGGCTGTCACACCACTTCCCTGAACGTCCTCTATGCCCAAGTAGGCGTCACCAGAGGTCGCAGTGACTTCCAGGCATGGGCACACACACACAAGATAAGCGTGTAAGAATGATAAGTTGTTGCGGGGAGGGCGGGGTATAAATCCAATCAATAAATAAATACATTGATATCCTTGCAAGTTATTGCTGCGTGTGGAAGGTGGCAAGGCTAAAAGCCAGTGGCTCATGCAGGGGTGTGACATGCATCTTCCTCCAAGGGAAGGTTAGTCCTGCTATTTCTTTATTTTTCAGAATTGACAACCCCCAGGGAAGGGTGTTGTCTGAGTAGCACCCTGTGGTGTGACTTATTAATGTGTCGGTGGAGGGAGAAAAGCCAAGAAAGTGCCAATGGATTCCCTTCCTAGCTGCTCATCTTGCCTGAGAGACGACCAGTTAATTGTCAGATGCGTGGCATCCAGTTGGGGTTAGATAGGGAGAAAAATGAATGCACAAATTCAAGACCACTCATCCCTTTAGAGCCAGTTTGGTGTAGTGGTTAGGAGCGCAGACTCTAATCTGGGAGAACCGGGTTTGATTCCCCACTCCTCCACATGCAGCCAGCTGGGTGACCTTGGGTCAGTTACAAGTTCTTTCAGAGTTGTTCTCTCATGAGCAGTTCTCGAAAGAGCTCTCTCAGCCCCACCTGCCTCACAGAGTTTTGTTGTGGGGAGGGGAAGGGAAAGGAGATTGTAAGCCACTCTGAGACTCCTTCAGGCAGTGAAGGGCAGGGTATAAATCCAATCTCCTCCTCCTCCTCTTCAATTTCATATATCTCGAGGCTGATGTCATTTGTCGGGCTTCTTTCCCTTTTAACTGCCATGAGACAGACAGCCATTCCGTCGATGAAGTGCTTCTCACAGCTGCGTTGCATATTGCCACCCTGGGGGGAACTGCACCCATTGAATTTCTGCCTGTTGTGCTACTGTTAAAAGTATAGAAGCCCTGCCAGAGGAAAAAGGTGGTAAACCTGCTGAGCTTTGGTTCTGGGATCACATGTTCCCCCCCCCTCTTAACAGCTGATGGCTAATTAAAATTAGGCTAGGGGTGTTAATTACAACAGTTGCCCTAAATTAGAGACGCTGCGAACTTTGCAGTGAATATGTTCAGGAGGTGAACATAACTGTTTTCGATAGGCACAATCACTGGCACGCCAAGCAAGGCTCCCTCTAAACTGTGTGGAGTCCTGTGAGCAAAAATTCTACTTTGTGAGCTACTGGCATTAAAATTGTGAGTGAGCAATTTGGCTACTGCATGAATTAGTTTGCTCTGGAGCCATCCTTCCTGAGCTAAGACAAAATGTGAGCCGGAGGCTAAGAAACTGAGCTAGCTTACACTAACTCAGCTTAGAGGGAACACTGGTGCCAAGCCTTGGATCTCATCGCTGCTGCCTGGCTTGAGCAGCGCGCCGAACAACTTTGCAGATGCGCAGTAGGTGGGCACTCAATGAAATTGCTGAGCTGTTGGGTTAGAACGGATAAGAGAAAGTACTTCTTCACCCAAAGAGTGATTAACACATGGAATTCACTGCCACAGGAGGTGGTGGTGGCTACAAGCATGGACAGTTTCAAGAGGGAATTGGATAAACATATGGATCAGAGATCCATCAGTGGCTATTAGCCACAAGGTACAGGTAGGAACTCTCAGTCTGGGGCAAGTGATGCTCTGTCTTCTTGGTGCTTGGGGGGGGGCAACAGTGGGAGGGCTTCTAGTGTCCTGGCCCCACTGCTGGACCTCCTGATGGCACTGGTATTTTTGGCCACTGTGTGACAGAGTGTTGGACTGGATGGGCCATTGGCCTGATCCAACATTGGCTTCTCTTCTGAAGGGCTGTCATGTAGACGATGGAGCAGATCTATTCTCTCTTGCTCCAGATTGCAAGACTAGATCTAATGGGTGAAAATTACAGGGGAGTCGATACCAGCTAAATATCAAGAGAAACTTCCTAACTGTAAGAGTGGTTGAGCAGTGGAACAGACTGCCTCAGGAGGTGCTGGATGCTCCTTCGCTGGACGTTTTCAAGTGGAGGCTGGACGACCATCTTTCGGGTATGTTGTAGGGCTATCTTTCAGCTATGCTCCTGCAGAATGCGGGGGGTTGGACTAGATGACCTGCAATTTCCCTTCCAACTCTAACATTCTATGATTCTATAAGTCCAGGGTTGCCATGCAGAGGCAGGCAATGGCAAACCACCTCTAAATGTCTCTTGCCTTGAAAACCCAATGAATGCAGAAACTTCATGGGGTAATCATGAGCCAGTTGCGACTTGATGGCACACTCCTCCATATACACTTCATCTGTTTTATTCTCTACTCTCAAAAATGGGTCTTTGGTTATCTTACTCAGTGAAGCAGTGATGATAATTGGTGGCTGATATTATTTTATAACATCAGGTCTCCATGCTATCGTTCATCTGACAGCAACCAAAAAATCCCGATCGGGGGAAGTGTGAACCGAAGTGTGAAAACTCTTCCTTTTGTGCACTGATGAGTTGAGCAATGGGGTGCAGACAGTCTTCGTACTCCCAGTGCTAGCTGCTTGTTGAATCTTTGTCCCATCTGGGGAAACGTGGGTGGAGAGGCTGCCTCGCGTTGCTCCACTTCAACCTTGGGGTTGTGCCATACTAGGTCTGTGGGGAAATAAATAAGATCTCCATAACACTTTTAAGTTATTGTATGAAGAACAGGTAGGCCTGGCTTGCTTGACTGAAACCTGGCTGGAGGAATCTCTTGATGACGTTCTGTCTCAGTGCCAGCTGGGTATAAGGTCCTTCACCAACCCTGAAATGGAGCACAGGGGAGTGGGGTACTTATTTTCTGCCTCTGTGTGGCAACCCTGGACTTCCTTGGTGGTCTCCCACCCCAGGACCCACTAGGGACAACCCTGCTTAGCTTCTGAGGAAACTGGGCTAGCCTGGGCCATCGGGATTATGGGCCAACCCCATATCCTTCAATACCGGCTCCATATTCCAAAAGACAAGAATTAAACAGCCAATGGTATCAAAGGCCACTGATAGATCTGCCTGTACCAACAGGGATGAGTGGCTGCTTGTCCAGCTTCAGGCAAAGATCGTTCCGTCAGTGCATCTGAACCTATCAGTTCCAAATCCAGGCCTGAAACCAGATAAAAACGGGTCGACAGCAGGTGTATCATCCAGGAACCTCTGGCGTTGTTCCATTGTCATGTGGTCTCTTACCTTCCCCCCTAAA